GCTATTTGTCCTGTGTTGCATTATTTGAGGTAAGAGGGCTACCAATGATTGCAAAAGCATAGTCTAATGAAAATAATTTCATCTCATCTGACCTTGGTGGCATTCCTGAAAAGTCAACCCTGCAGCAATAGAACAGGTCCTGGGGAACCTTTGAGGGGTTGCCCTAACTCTTGGTGGCCTGACTTTTTATATTGCTTGTCACGATAAATCTGATAACATTTCTCTTTCTTATCCTAACATTCCTTTTATCTGTTTACTCAAAAATTCCCTTTGGAATTTTTTATCAAAAACTATCATATGGACCCTAAAGATGCCACCAAAAAACTACTAGAACTGATAAATGAGTTCAGTAAGGTCTCAGGATACCAAATCAAGTAATCTCTTGGAAAAAAAAAATAGGAAAAAGAAATCTGCATTTCTATACACCAATAATAAAGCATCAGAAAGAGAAATTAGAAAAACAATCCATTTACAATTTCACCAAAAATTGTATGATACTTGGGAATAAACTCAAGCAAAGCAGTGGAAGACCTGTACCCTAAAAACTATGAAACACAGATGAAAGCAATTGAAGATGAGGCAAAGAAACGGAAAGACATCCTATACTCATGGATTGAAAGAACAGATATTGTTAAAATGTCTAAATTACCCAAAACAATCTATACATTTAATGCAACCCCTAAGAAAATACGACCTGCATTTTTCAGAGAGCTAGAACAAACAACCTTAAAACTTGTATGGAACCAAAAAAGACCCCGAACAGCCAAAGCAATCTTGAAAAAGAAAAGCAAAGCTGGAGGCAACACAATTCCAGACTTCAAGTTATATTACAAAGCTGTAGTCATCAAAACAGTATAGTACTGGCACAAAAATAGAAACATACATCAATAGAACAGAATAAAGAACCCAGAAATAAACTGACAGTTACACGGACAATTAATCCTCAATAAAGTGGGAAAGAATAGCTAATGGGAAAAGGACAGTCTCTTTCACAAATAGTGCTGGGAAAACTGGAGAGTAACATGCAAAATAAAGTAACTAGACCACTTTATTACACCATACACAAAAATAAATTAAAACTGGGTTAAAGACCTAAATGTGAGACTTAACACCAGAAAAATCCTAAAAGAGAACATAGGCAGTAACCTCTTAGACATCAACTGCAGCAATTTCTTACTAGATATGTCTTCTGAGGCAAGGGAAACAAAAGCAAGAAACTATTGGGACTTTATCAAAATAAAAAGCACAGTGAAGGAAACAATAAAACTAAAAGACAACTACTGAATGGGAGAAGATATCTGCAAATGAAATATTTGATAAAGGGTTAGTATCCAAAATCTATAAAGAACTCATAAAACGGAACACCCAAAAAACAAATAATCCAGTTTAAAAATGGGCAGAAGAAATGAACAGACATTTCTTCAAAGAAGACATATAGATGGTTACGACACATGAAAAGATGCTCAAAATCACTTATCATCAGGAAAATACAAATCAAAACCACAATGAGATATCACCTCACACCTGTCAGAATGGCTAAAATTAACAGTACAGGAAATAACAGGTGTTGGTGAGGATGTAGAGAAAGGGGAACCCTCTTACACTGTCGGTGGGAATGCAACTGGTGCAGCCATTCTGGAAAACAGTATGGAGATTTTTTAATGTTAAAAATAGATTCATCCTATGATCCAGCAATCGCATTACTGGGTATTTACTCAAAGAATACAAAAACGCTAATGCAAAGGGATACATGCACCCTTATATTTATAACAGCATTATTTATAATAGCCAAGATATGGAAACAGCCCAAGTATTCATCGATTGATGAATGGATAAAGAAGATGTGAGATACACACACACAATGATATATTACTCAGCCATAAAAAAAGAATGAAATCTTGCTACTTCCAATGACATGGATGGAGCTAGAGTATAATGCTAAGGGAAATAAGTCAGCAGAGAAAGACAAAAACCAAATGATTTCACTCATGTGGAATTTAAGAAAAAAACAAATGAGCAAAGGGGAAAAATACAGAGACAAATTAAGAAACAGACTCTTAATTATAGAGAACAAATTGATCAAACTATTAGTTACCAGAGGGGAGAGGGTATGGGGAAGGGGGAAATAGGTGATAGGGATTAAGGAGTGCGCTTGTTGTGATGAGTACTAGGTAACGTAAGAAATTTTTCAATCACTATATCCTATACCTGAAACTAATATGACACTGTATGTTAACTAACTGGAATTAAAATAAAAATTTAAAATTTCAGTGACGCCTGGGTGGCTCAGGGCGTGATCTCAGGACTCTGGTTCCCCACAGGGAGCCTGCTTCTCCCTCTGCCTATGTCTCTGCCTCTCTCTGTTTCTCTCATGAATAAATAAAATTTAAAAAATTTAAAAAATTAAAATTTAAAAAAGTTTAAATAATTTCTTTGTAAATGTTCTTTTTACATTCAGAATAGCCTACTTAATATTTTTTAAAAATAAAATTTTAGTTTTAAAATTTAAAAATTTTCAACCTGGAGAATTTATTCTTTAGCTTTGGAAATAGTCTTATATTATTTCTTTGATAATTTCCCTTTTCATATTTTTGTTCTCTCTGGAATAAAGTCATATAAGTTAGATATTAAAACTTCTGGATTGGGGTGCCTGGGTGGCACCGGTGAGTTAAGAGTCATGATCTCAGGGTGGTGAGACTGAGCCCCATGTTGGGCTCAGTGCAGAGTCGGCTAATCCTTCTCCCTCCCTGTCTGTCCTTCCCTGTGCATCTTTTTTTCATTTTCAAATAAATAAAATCCTTAAAAATAAAAAAAATGTCTGGATTGATCCTTTGCATCTTTTTTCATATTTTCTATATTCTACTTTCTGAAAGATTTTTCCCCCAACCTATTATTAACCTGTTTAAATTTTGGAAATCATGGATTTATTTTTCAAGTGTTCTATTTTGTTTTTTGAGTAACCTTTTGAATGCCATTTTTGTCTTGTTTTATGGATACAATACCTTTTTAAATCTCGATGGAAATATTTAAAACTTACTGAAAGTTTTCTTTTGTTCCCTGCATTATTCCTGTTTAAGCTTCCTTAAAGCCTTATTTTCTTCTTGGTCTTTATATTGAAGGTATGCCATGTATTAAGTATGGGAACCTCTGTGCACTGAAAAGCTGATTGGGCATTCTGTGTACATGAGCAATGTTTAGGCATTATGATGTGGAAACTCTCAACTGTCAAAACTTGGAGGCCTTTTTTTTCTGATATTCAATTTCTTTATTTATTATTATTATTTTTTTGCCCAGAATAACATCTCGTTGCTAAATGGTTAATCAGCAGAGGTGTGTGTACATGTGGGGTTGATTTGTGGGGTTTTTGTGGGGGGGGGGGAGTCTTTATTCAGACTTTTGTTTAACGCCCTCTGTTTTTAGTCTCTCATTTCACCCCTTCCCTCTGTATCTTGTGTATCAGTACTCCAAACTTCGGCTGTATCCTGTTGCATCAGTTACCACCATTATAAAGAAAACCACAAGCCCAAAATGCTATCACTTGGGCCAGGCTGAGTCACCAAGCTGGGGCTTAATACCTAACCTAACTGCAGATTCAACTTTCCCGAGAAATAGGTCACAACCTGTCAGTCAGAAATTTTCTCAACAGCACCAATGATGTAATTTGTCACATGGGCCCTCTCCATTGCCCAAAGGAAGATGAAGTAATCTACCTAGAAAGGTCCCCTGCCCTTCTCCCTAAGGGAGGGTGACTTTGCCTAAAATAATTCTCTCTTTTCTTTTGCTCAAAACTTTCCTGCCCCATTCTTCTTTCTTTTTATTTTTTTTAATTGAAGTATAGTTATTATGCAATGTTACATAGTTCCAGGTGTACATCATAATGAATCAACAATTCTTTCCATTATACTATGCTCACCACAAGTGTGGCTACCATCTATCAACATATAATGCTATTACAATATCATTGATGATATTCTTTATGCTGTGCCTTTTATTCCTATGATTTATTCATTTCATAACAGGAAGCCTGTATCTCTCTCACTCCCTACACTCATTTTGCCCATCCCCCACCCCATCCTCCTTTCTATAGAAAACTTTCGTTTTGTACAACTCCTTGAAACTCCCCTTTACTTGCTAGATGGGATGCTGCCCAGTTCATGAATTACTTAATAAAGCCAATCAGATCTTCAAATGTACTCGGTTGAATTTTGTTAATACCACTCATCTTCTACCTATATTCCACGTTGCAGAATTTTATTGAAATCTCTTGCCCTCCTTCACCATCATTTTGGTGGAGTCTTGAGGAAAGGGGATAAATACATATATTCAATTTACCACCTTTAATCAGACTGCTTAATTTCAAGGGTTTGTGTTACACACTCCCCTCCCATCCCTGTATACTTTTTTGGTCTTGTGAATAATGTAAATTTTCTAGAAGATTAAAGAACTGTTTTTGTATATTATGGGAGGAAGGTTCATATAACCTTGGGTGGTATAAGTATCCTACTGAGTAACCTGGACAAGGGGAAAGTACTGAAGATATTTAGGGCAGTGTGAGATAAACTCTCTTCATGACTTCAGAAATCTGGTTACTCATTTACAGCTGGGATAAGATAAATGTTCAAATAACTAGAAAAGTTCTATAAACCACTTGTAAAACTAAGTTTTTATTCTACTACCGAACCATGTTCCCATAAACCATTGGTTACCTCTAAATTTCCAACATCTGGAAGAGCACAAGTTGTGGCATCACCTAGCCGGCCCCTCCTACGTCCTACTCACTCACAAAGAATTTCCCCTTTGAGTGACTGCAATATTGGCTGCTTACTCATACCAGTTTCCTTAGGATTGGCTTGGACTGCAAATAAAATGATGTTTGCCTATAATCAAGGTGATAGGCTACAACATAAATGCACACAAGTTCCCAGTCTTAAAATACAACATGAAGCATTTGCTATCTTCTTTCCTCCTATTATTTTCACAAGAAACCTGGACAGCAAACATTGTCCCTGGCCAAAAGAAGAGTCTTTGAAAGGAAGAAAAAACCCTAAAATGGGTCTACTAAATTCTAAAAACTCCAAAACCAAGCAAGCCCAGATTCTTCTTCTGGGACTTGACTCAGCTGGGAAGTCTACACTCCTTTACAAATTAAAGCTTGCTAAGAATATTTCAACCCTCCCAACCATAGGTTTCAACGTGGAGATGATCCAGTTGGAAAAGAATCTTTCGGTCACGATCTGGGATGTTGGAGGACAAGAAAAAATGAGAACCGTTTGGGATCATTACTGTGAGAACACTGATGGGCTGATGTATGTTGTGGATAGTACAGACAAACAGCGACTGAAAGATTCCAGTAGAGAGCTGGAGCACATTTTGAAGAACGAACACATTAAAAATGTGCCTGTTGTTCTATTAGCCAACAAACAGGATGTGCCTGGAGCTCTAACTGCTGAGGACATCACCAGAATGTTCAAAGTGAAGAAGCTCTGCAGTGACCGGAACTGGTATGTGCAGCCCTGCTGTGCCATCACTGGGGATGGACTGATGGAGGGGTTCAGGAAATTGACTGGATTTGTGAAAAGCCACATGAAATCAAGAGGAGATGCTTTAGCATTCTTTAAGCAGAACTGAGGTCCAAGCAGTGACATACTGGTGAAGTTGAAAGGGTAAATTTTTACTATGCCAAGTGAGAAAAGCAAGTTGTTAAGTTAGCAAACTTTTCCTAAAATGTTATGTCACCTAAATTCAGCTAAAAACTTAAAATAATATCTAGAAAACATTATTTTTGGTCAGGCACTTCAGTAAATTATATGGTAATGATAATTGAGAATGAAAATTGTATAATTTTGTGCATGTTGGATAAATCAGAATAACTATGTTTGGGACCAAATAAGTTATTCCTTTATTATTTTTATATGACTACTAGAACAAAGTTTAAGTAAACTGCTAATAGGGTCAGAATTCTTTTTGATGGTTTCCAGCTGTTACAGTATTGCATTTCTACCACACTCTTATGGAACAGCTAGTAAAAAATGAACTTTAAATTATGGAGAGAAAAAAATAAATAAATAAAAATAAAAAAAATTATGGAGAGAATAAAGTTTGATGTTAACATTTTATAAATCTCTATGCCTTAAATAAGTTTTTTTCTGTATTCCTACCAACTCTTTGAAATCTATTGCTGGGGACTTCCTACGGTCAGCCAAACAAGGAACTTTAGGCTGTTAATTGCCCAGAAGCATAGGGAGAAGTTTGTATCTTAAAGTTCTGGGGATCAGGATAGCTAGCTATATTAGGGCGGGGCCTGGGTTTCACTCACCTTGAGGCTATAGCCCCAAGATGGGCTTATATAGAATTTAGAACAGTCATTACCTGGGAATATAGGTACAGCTCACTGTACTGATCAAACAGGAACCAGAGCCATACTTTAATCTCAGAGACTTTGTAATTCACCGAGGGAAATAATGTAAAGCTAGCAGCTAGAATAGGGCAGTAAGTACTATGTGCTATAACAGGAGGGACTTTGACCTGGGAAAACAGGAAGTGCTTCATACCAGGGGTAGTGTTTAAGAAAGTCTCCAACTCCTAGGGACCCTTGAAGGTGAAGGTTAGTCACTGGAAGTTCCCATCACTAGAAGACCCTGAACAGTCATTGCAGGGGAAGGGAGAAGGAACTGGAGATTGAATTGGAATTCCCCTGAGAGGCTCAGAACTCCCAGGGAGGTCCTGGTACTAACAGATGACACACTTTCTTCCAGCCCCACCTCTAACAAAGCTCATTTGAGCTAGAAGAAGCAGGCCTCAAGCCCTGACTGCAGCTCCTGGGGCTCTAAATCTTAAGGTCACAGAGGAAAATAAAGGTATGGTCAACCAAGGGTGCTAGCCCCTAAATTCCTCTCTTGTTTTCCTTCTCTCACCTTAGCCATGATCTCTATAGCAAAGATATGAGTGCTGGTAAGGATTCAAATGATAAAGTAAACATACATATAATAGTTTCCATTGGTTGAATGCTTGTCGAAGCAAGGTATTGTATAATCACTTTCATACATCTTCTCATTTAGTGTTCACAACTGCCCTGAGAGAAATCAGCATTATGATATCAATTTTACAGGTGAGAGTTCTGAGACTAAACAAGGTAACAACAATAACAACCACGCAAAAACTACTTGATATTTTAGCTGAGGAGTGGCAGAGTCAAGATTCATACTCATCTGTTTAGTTTCAAGGCCAGTACTGTTAATTGTCATATTGTTTTGTGAATAAGGTATGGTGTCTGTCTTCAGTGAGGTTACTGCACACAGTTAAGAGTAAATTCATGCTAAGGGCACCTGGCTGGCTCAGTTGGTGGAGCACGTGACTCTTGATCTCTGGGTTGTAAGTTTGAGCCACACACTAGGTATAGAGACGGCGTAAAAAAAAAAAAATAAACTCTTAAAAAAAAAAAGAGGAATAAATCCAGGCTAAATTAAAAATAGAACTACCACTGTTCCAGCAAGCCTATTACTGGGTATATACCCAAAATAAATGAAATCACTACCTTGAAGAACTATCTGCACCTCTATATTAATGTAACATTATTCACAATAGTCAAAATGTGGAAACAACCCAAGCATCCATCAATGGATTAATGGATGAATAGATTTTTTAAAAAATGGATGAATGGGGCAGCCCCAGTGGTGCAGCGGTTTGGCACCGCCTGCAGCCCGGGGTGTGATCCTGGAGACCTGGGATCAAGTCCCGCATCAGGCTCCCTGCGTGGAGCCTGCTTCTCCCTCTGCCTGTGTCTCTGCCTCTCTCTCTCTCTCTCTCTGTCTATGAATAAATAAATAAAATCTTAAAAAAATGGATGAATGGATAAAGAAAATATAGTATGTATACACGATGGAATATTATTCAGCCACAAAAAAGGGAAATCCTGACCTTAGCAACAACATGGATGAAACTGGAGGGCATTATGTGAAGTGAAGTAAGTCAGACACAGAAAGACAAGTACTGTATGATTTCACTTTTATAGGGAATTAAAAAAAAACTCACAGAAACAGAATATAGATTAATGGTTAATAGAGGCTGTGGATGGGGAAGCAGAGGATGGGGAGACGTGTAATATGGCACAGACTTTTAATTATAAGATGAATAAATTTTGAGGATCTAATGTACAGCATGCTGACTATAGTTAATATTACTGTATTGTATACTAGAAATTTGCTAAGAGAGTAAATCTTAAGCATTCTCATTAAAAAAACAAGTACGGATGATGTGTTAACTGTGGGAATTTGTTTTACAATGTATATGTATATCAAATCATCACATTGAACACTTTATTATATATGTAATATATATTAAAATTTGGTCAATTATAATAATAAAGCTGGGGGAAAAGCAAATGCAGACCAACATAGAAGGTTCTGTGAGGGGTGCCTGCGTGGATCAATGTTTGAGCATCTGCCTTGGGCTCAGGTCATGATCCTGGCTTCCTGGGACTGAGTCCCACATCAGGTTCCCCACAGGGAGCCTGCTTCTCCTTCTTCCTATGTCTCTGCCTCTCTCTCTGTGTCTCTCATGAATAAATAAAATATTTTTTTAAAAAAAGAAAGTTGTTTGAGAGGTGCCTGGGTGGCTCAGTGGGTTAAGGGTCTGACTCTTGATTTCAGCTCAGATCATGATGTCAGGGTCATGAGATCAAGCCCTGCATCAGGATCTGCACTCAGCAGGGAATCTACTTAAGATTCATTCTCTCTCTCTCTCTCTCTCTCTCGTTCTCCCTCTGCTTCTCCACCTCCCCAACAAATAAATAAATCTTAAAGGAAAAAGTTTCTTTGAAAAAACAAGCCAGACAGAATAAATTAAGTGCAATACAGAGATATAAGAAACATGCTGAAACGTTTCTGATTTCAGGAAGATCTCAGCACAGCGTCAATGTTAAATGCTTTGTAGTAGAGTTTTTCCTAAGTTCCACAAAATTATTAAAACCACAAATATGCCTCTTTTTTAAAAAAAATGCATCTTCCCTTACCATTTCCCCTATGTGGATAAAAAAAAAATCCTAATAATCTTAAAATGAGGAGTCACTAACTTATGCCTTTAGAAAATGTCTGAATAGAAAACATCACCTGGTGGTATTTTGGTAGTCTGAATTATGTGAAGCCTTTGTGGTCTAGTCTTAACATAGTATAAAATTCAGAAAAAACAGCCCCCCAAAATATAAAAACCTATTAAAATCTTCACTTCAGAAAGCTCTAAGAGCTGTAGTGGGTGTACCTGGCAGACACATTCTTAATGTAAAAACAAAACTTACAAAGTAGGTTTTCCTCTGTCATTTCAACCTCTCCCCTGAAAAGCAGTTATTCCTCAAAATCTCTAGTAATCTTGTCTGAGAAACTTGAACATTCCCATGCTTTTCCCCCTCCTTCTCTGGGATCCAATCTATTTTCTTCCATCAGTCACTTGCTTTCTTTTTAATGTACATTTTACCAATCTTTCCTTTCTTTGGCATTTCCCTCTTGCTCTCCCTAGCATGCTCTTCTTACCCTCCAACACATATACAAACATATACCTATACACTCTTCATTCTGATCCACCTAAAAAAGCTCAAAATTGAAGGTAGGGGACAAAGATAAGGTGCACAACAGCAAGATATTCCTTAACAGGTGAGAGGAAAGAGGCTGTGAATATTCATGCCTTGATATTTATTACTGTCATACATCTTATTCTCTGTTATCTCAATGTAACAAGCCAAAACTTTTAATTTATCAAAATAACATACTGCGATGGATCTGTAGCAAACAAAAGCACATCACTTCTGAAATGTTTTAAACATCTGAATGGTAAATATCAGTTAAATATTTGTATCTGATTTTCTAAGTATTCCCAGGTTAAAAAAAAATCCCTACAGGGCATAAGAATAAAAAAATGACAAATAGGGCAGCCCTGGTGGTGCAGCGGTTTAGTGCCGCCTGCAGCCCGGGGTGTGATCCTGGAGACCTAGGATCGAGTCCCGTGTCGGGCTCCCTGCATGGAGCCTGCTTCTCCCTCTGCCTGTGTCTCTGCGCCTCTCTCTCTCTCTGAATAAATAAATAAATATTTTTTAAAAAATGACAAAGCAGCAGCAATGCTAATACATATTAAAATTAATTGGTCAGTTAAAAAATTTGAACATCACCATGTTCTGATAATGAACAATATGGGTTTTGCCAAAACAAGGAAGACTGGTAATTTCAGATAGAGTCCTGAAGTTCTTGTACCTTATAGGTGGCACTGAGGGACAATCTGCAGAGGCTTCTGTGTTTTGAGTCTGTCAAAGAACCACCCAAGAAACAGTATGTCTGTCATGCTTCTCAAAGGGTTGGCCTGTTTTTGTATGCATGAGCTCTCTAGAGTGAAGGAGAGAGAAGGAGAGAGACAAAATGAGAGAATGAGAGAGAGAGAGGCAAAGGACAGAGACTTCTCTTTTGTAGTGCTAGTGAGTATTTAAAATAATTGAGGACATACTGTCTCAGGGGCTTCAGTCCACCAGATGTTTAGCGTAGTGTTGACTATTAACAGATTAAACCATTTCAAGCCTGAGAAAGTGCATTTTACCTTGAAAGTGCCACACAAAATTGAGTTATTAGATGACAATCATGAGTAGTATTTTCACAAACAACACCTCATGTTGTTCTCGCAACATCTTATCGGGTGGCAAGATGAATATTATCAACACCATTTTAAAGATATGAAGAACTGATTAGGCAGTTATTGAGCCTGGTCCTCTGATTTCCAAGACTTAAAAAATATATATAATTATTATCATACAATGAATTTAACAATAATGTGGCACACTTACTTTTACCATTAAATTTGTTGGTTTCTAGAAGTCAAATAGGACTGGCCAGTGTACTTCTTAGGCCAAAAACCCAGGAGCCATCTTCCCTTTTCCCTCATGTCTTCTATTTATCTGCAAATTCTGTCAGCTGTCCCTTCAAAATACATCTCCCTTCTGGCCACTTCTCAATCGCCATCAGTGCCACAAGGTCACCATCAAGTCTCACCTGGGTGGCTAC